AAAATCACCTCAATGAATTTACAGCAAATATTTTGCATGTAAAAAAGGGAACTTATTGTGACTTATTTCTAATAAAGTAGCACCCCAAAGGGATCAACATTTAGATGCACAAAATTAAAAAAAATAACAAAAACTAAATTTCCAATATATACTTATAATACTTAACCCTTTCCATCCACAATTGGTGTTTTAACATTTACCAGCATGAATACGTTAATAAATGCCCTCCTCTTGGGAGACACCAGCTGAAAATTTGCCTTGCTGGCGGCGCCTAACCACCTGCTGTCTGGAGCAATTTCTTAATATTTGCACACACATGATCATACCTGAATTGTTGGCTAGAAAACAGCTTAGACCCCCAAACAATTATATATACACTATATTGCTAAAAGTATTGGGACACCATTCCAAATCATGAGAGTCAGGTGTTCCAATCACCTCCATGGCCACAGATGTATAAAATCAAGCACCTAGGCATGCAGACTGCTTCTACAAATATTTGTGAAAGAATGGGTCGTTCTCAGGAGCTCAGAGAATTTAAGCCTGGTACCGTGATAGGTTGTCACTAAATATTCCACGGTCAACAGTAGTATTATAACAAAGTGGAAGCAACTGGGAACAACAGCAACTCAGTCAGCGCATTCTGAAGGGCACAGTGTGCAGAAGTCGCCAACTGTCTACAGAGTCAATAGCTACAGACCTTCAAACTTTTTGTGGCCTTCAGATTGGCACAGCAATAGTGCGTAGAGAGCTTCATGGAATGGGTTTCCGTGGCCGAGCAGCTGCATCCAAGCCTTACATCACCAAGTGCAATGCAAAACTTTGGGTGCAGTGTTGTAAAGCACGCCACCACTAGACTCTACAGAAGCGGAGACGTGTTCTCTGGAGTGACGAATCACAATTCTCTGTCTGACAATCCGATGTACGAGTCTGGGTTTGGCGGTTGCCAGGAGAATGGTGCTTGTCTGACTGCATTGTGCCCAGTGTAAAGTTTGGTGGAGGGGAGATTATGGTGTGGGGTTGTTTTTCAGGGGTTGGGCTTGGCCCCTTACTTCCTTACTTAGCCCCTTACCTAAGGCATCAGCATACCAAGACATTTTGGACAATTTCATGTTCCCAACTTTGTGGGAACAGTTTGGGGATGGCCCCTTCCTGTTCCAACATGACTGCACACCCGTGCACAAATCAAGGTCCATAAAGATATGGATGAGCAAGTTTGGGGTGGAAGAATTTGACTGGCTTTCACAGAGTCCTGACCTCAACCCGATAGAACACCTTTGGGATGAATTAGAGTGGAGACTGCGAGCCAGGCCTTCTCGTCCAACATCAGTACCTGACCTCACAAATGCGCTTCTGGAAGAATGGTCAAACATTCCCGTGGGCAGCCTTCCCAGAAGAGTTGAAGCAGTTATAGCTGCAAATGGTGGGCCAACTCAATATTGAACCCTACAGACTAAGACTGGGATGCCATTAAAGTTCATGTGCGTTGTGGTATTGTGTGGCGATCCCCCTGTAGAATTGGGACCTGGGACTCTCAGCCAGATGGGCTGAGACGTGTCAGGAAGCAAGGGTTTGTCAGGACTATGCTTGGGATCCTGGAACTGGGAGGTTTCAAGGTGATTCAGGAGGGAAGATGAGATCCCCAGTCCTGGGTCCAGGCTTTAGCAATGGCCAGCACTCGATGATTGCACAGGTGTCCACAGCCATTAAGAAAAGGATGCTGGCCAGGGGAATTAGCTCCTGCTGGGAAGAGGGACAGGTTGTGTCCAGGAGTCAGGCGGACTCCACCCAGAAGCCAGAGTGAAGCCAGGAGGCTGTGTATGTGTTGGAGGCTGGAAGGCTTGGAGAGCCAGAGAGAGCCAGGCACAAAAGGTGTGTGGGTGAATTCAAAAGATGCTCAAAGGCACAGAATATCCAGGAAGAGATTCTTTTGAGGCAAACCGTCAGGTCCTGAGACACTGAACAGGATAACCTGTGAAGGGTGAGCTGATATGTACTCTGAAGAAAGCTATTTATGTTGGATTTCCTTTTTCTGCCTTTGGAATTAATAAAAGACTGTGCTTTGTTCTGTGAAAACGGCTTCATGACTGGTCCTTAAGCGCTCGCCATTTGTGCTAACCTCCCCAACGTCACAAGTGGTGGAGAATGCGGGCACTACAGCGCTATCTCTTGCAGAAGCCGTTTTGAATGCAGAAAACTGACATTTAAAGGGACAGTGTACTTGTTACAGGTCGTGAGCAGAGTTTGGAGTATCTGCAAAATAAGTTAATGAGAACTATGTTTTCTATGAGTGAGACAGCAGAGATTGCATGCTGTGTAAAGCAGGTGAGCTAAGGCCTGCAGGACAAGGAACAGTCCTTAAAGAAACAACGCTCTAAAAAACTTTTTCTGTGAAACAGTGTGCAAAGCTGCTGTGTTTTGCACAAATCGATTAAATCAGGAAGTGTGTCTTTTAAGAATAATCTGACTCTGGAAGTCCTCTGATGCTGAAGTTACATCTCCGAGACCGATTTTCAAGGTCGTCAATTTTAGCCAGGGCATCATCTAATTGAGCCTGTACCGTTTGAATATAGGCTGTATTTTTATTGATGTGAGTAACCGTAGCATCTACTTTTTGCTCAATAGCATCGATCCGAATGCCCAATTCCTGTAGATCCGCTTTAATGTCTGTTGTAATTTGTTTTGCGGTACGTGCTAACCCCTTGTCTAACATATCAGACAGTTTGGTAATCAGGGGGTGATCATCGGCCATGTCCATTAAAGCCCTGTCCCCCTTCAATGCACAGGAAGATTTATAGTCCACTGGAAAAGCCCTCTGTTTGGACAATATCTCCTCTATTGTTTGTTCAATCAGAGAAACAGTAGAAGCGAGTGATTTTTTGTTCAGGGGAATCTGTACTCAGTGTGGTCCGATGCATGGAATCAGAGGAGTCCTCCACATCACTGTGCCTGACTTGCAACTGCCTCTGCTGTATAGAGGGAGATGATGCTGCAGCCATCTTGGACTTCTGGATCTCAGGCCGTTGCTTCTGTGTCTGTTTTCTTGACCTCTTGGGTCTTCCCCCGGCCATCGAGATATATTAGATGCTGTAGATGTATTTATTAACCCCCCACTACAAAGGAGAGAGATAGGTCCCACAAAGATGATTAAACCAGTAGTCACTAAGTCAGCCACAGGGTCTATACTGTGACCAAACAGGTAGCAGAGATCTATGACATTTATAAGTCACCCAGCATTTAGTCCACCAATAACTGCTATTAATTCAATAGCAGCATAACGTCTTTAATCAGACTGAAGCCACTGTAATTATTTTCCTGTAGTATTAATAGTTTCAGTTCATACTAGCAGTTCCACTATACAATAGTGTATTCCAGATAAATGCCATTAGTTCATATATACTTCATCTGCATCTTAATTCAGCTGGAAGAAAGTGGGCTCATAACATCTGACAGTACTTCATATATGCTGCAGCTTTAGTATGTATAGGGGTAGGTGAAGAGATTCGTAACGACAGAGAGACATGTTCCCATAGGGAGGCACTGCTCCAATACTTCCTTAGTTAGTGCTATGAAGTCTACCTAGATTGGTAGCGTCGAGACCCATGGACAGCCTCACCTTTCCCCTTTCTCTAATCGAGCACCATCGTCCGGCGCGTCTACAAGCCGTCAGCAAGCCGGGGGGAGGAGTCGCCCGATATCTCCCGAGAATATCACCGCCGCGTCTGGCTCCAGATCGCCCACGGAGACATCCACGCTGTTAGATGGACGCCAGGTCCAGGGGGCCTCTCATACCGCCACAGGTACTGCTGCAAGCTGGGAGCGGGGTGTCGTGGCTGACGTGGTGCTCGGCTCACACGCTAAGCCGCCATCTTAGCGGGAGCCTGCGCATGCGCCGTGTGTGGGCGTTTCCTAAAGCTGTTTTTCTGTGTAGATTGTTGTTAACTTGATGTTTGTTGTAGAGCTATTGTAAATAGTTTTGCTAATTTAGAGCATTGCAGAGGAGATTACAATCAGTGAAATTGTCAGTGTGTATAATGAGGAGCGGGAGGGGGGAGGAGGCAGCTGTGTGCTTCCTCTCTGCTTCATGGGGGTTTTAGCCAAAGAAAGATGTGCACGTGACCAGAATCAACGTGCAAGGCTCTTACTAAGTGACAGGAAGTGTGAGGGGAGAGAAGAGCAACTGTCAGGGACCATAGCACCTCCAGGTGGCACAGGAACCAGGTCCCGCAGTTCCTGCGCTCACCTACAGGTGTTTCCAGGCAGGCAGGAGATGTCAGGTACCAGACCACCACTGGGTGGTGCTGGAACCTTCATGTTCAGTCCTCACCTGTGGCCGTCTCCCAGCTGTTAGTGATTAATCACCACCAGGGAGGGTATTTAATCCCTCCCTGCAGTCTGGATATTGCCACATTATCCTGTTGCCATTTCCTATGAATCTGGAGCCCTGTTCTCTGCTTGTTGTCCGGAGCCCTGTTCCCTGCTTGTTGTCTGGAGCCCTGTTCCCTGCCTGTTGTCCGGAGCTGTGACCTCCTTATGTTCCTGAGTCCTGTTACCTCGTTGTACCCTGACCTTTTGTCCCTTAGTTCCCCTGGTGTTTTGCTTTGCTCCCTGGGTTTACTTGCCTGTTACTTTTTGCATGTGGTTTGGTTTAGATGTAGTTGGTTACTCTTACTTGTTTCTGTTTATATTTTTTTGGTTGGGATATTAAAACTATATATAAACTCATTCGCCTTGTCTTTTGTGGTCACGCATTTGGTCCTCCTGTGTGGGTACCTGCATGCAGTGTGGGGACACCCGCACACGGTACCTTGATAGCAACGGGAGCGAGCACAGCAGACTTTCTAAGGGGGTTAAAATAGTAAAACTTTATTTTAAAACATAAATAAATGTGGCTTTGGAGAATGTTCATTGTGTAGATGTGTTAAAGGAGAAGAAAAGCTGAGGGATTTGTGTCACTATGTGACCTACAATAATTTTTTCTCACGTGGTCTTGTTTTCAGATACTTATGAATGGGATATCCCGAACTGGGAGGGTATGTTGCCACGTTATGAACATGCTAGCTTTATCTCGACTGGAAAACCAGGGAGCATTTGGGTGTTTGGAGGAGCTGAACAGGCAGAAAATCAAAATAATGTTCAAGTATTAAACCCAGGTATGCATTCTTTTTATTGACACTTTGTATGAAAAAGTATACTTATTACAGGAACCTGAAGAAATAGAATGCCTTAAATCAAACATATATTAAAGAAATGTCAGTCGATTTGTCATGAACAACATCATCTACACATAAATTAGATCCAGATTGAAAGCGATAAAATAGGTCCTAGTGATCCCAAGGGGTCAAAGAAAAACGTTTGCCAACAAATAATTTTGCTTTCTTTCAGTGTAGATTGAAAAATGAAAGAGAAAATATGATGGTATACTCTTTTGATGGCACAGTGCAGTAAGGTCTGAAGACAGAAATACTAAGAGTCCATTCACAATACCCGTGTGTGTGTGTGTGTGTGTGTTTTCTGCCAAACCTTTTTTTTTTCAAATTCTTTATAAATGAATAAAGCATAAAAAAAATTAAAAAAATTAAAATTATATAGCAAAAAACATTACAAGCATTCTGGGATCTTTCTTTAAATTCCCATTGCAACCATATATCACATTTACAAACGCAATTACGGTAAAATATCGACTGTACTCATTGCACATCAACATTTATCTTACATTCATCCCTCGTTCCCATCATACCTTTCACACAAAAATACACAAAGTAAGAAAAAAAAAAACCTTTCTGTTTTTCTCTCTTTAGAGACTTCTTTCCTCTCCCTCCTTTCTGTCACTAGCAACCGCAGTTCTTATAGATCTATATCCCCAAAATATATATCAGAATCCGGAGGCATATAATATTGAATCCAAGGTTGCCAGACCTTTCTAAGTTTTAAAATTGAGTCCTTTAGTATTGCAGTAATTTTCTTGTTTATCAAATACCATGTAATTTTTTTGTTTAACTTGTTGAACAACTGATATCTCTGACTTCCAAGTTCTAACTATTGTTTGTTTAGCTGCTGTAAAGATGAATGTTATCAATTAAATTGCGTACAGCATTCTGGCTTTAAATTTAACAAGGCTTCCCATGGGTCTTTCTTTAACCTTCTTCCCATGACTCTCTCTATTATCTGGTACACCCCATCCAAAAAAGCTGGATTTTAGGGCAATTTAGGGCTGCAGCTAACAAATATTTTCAAAATCGATTAGTTAGCCGATTTACCCTATATACTAGAGTATAAGCCGAGATTTTCAGCCCATTTTTTTAACTTTTTCCCAGTTTTTTTGGGTAAAAGTAGGTACCTCGGCTTATATTCGGGACGGCTTATACTCGAGTATATACGGTATTAAGGTCGACTAGTCGGATATAAAAAATTAAAAAAATGGCTTTAATTTAAGTGATGGAATTCTAGTTTGTATTGAGATTGTAGTCTTATCACGGGAGCAAGCTTGGAGCAGTGACCACTTTACAACACACACAGGGACCATGGGGAACAAAAGTAGCCACCCTCCAGAAGGAAGGACAGTGTTGGCACCAATTCAGAGATGATTGGAGGATCCATTGCCAAGTGATACACAAATGAGATACATTTTTGTTAATAGTTAAAGGGGTTCTAAACCCTCCGGGTTTTTTGCCTATATCTACTGCTAGCATGCAGTAGATATAGGCAAGAAGTGTAAAAAAAAAAAACGCTTAAAATCCTTTTAAACTTACCTCGTTATCGCCGCTCGTTCCCGCGGCGAGAATCAGGAACTGCTTGTGCGGCCGCAAAGGATCTTGGGGCGGGCGCATGCGCAGTTCCGATTGGCCGGGAGACGAGCAGAGACGCAAGGTAAGTCTATGGACGCGTGCACCCGCCTGCAGACACCGCTGGATCGGAGAGACAGAGCAGTCAGCGCTGGATCGGAGTGACGTCACACCGCTGGAGGGACAGATGAAAACATGGGGAAAGAAGAGGAAGATCAGAAAAAGAGACATTTAAGGTAAGTGCTAACATTTACATTGGGGGGAGGGAAAAATTTTTTTGCCTTTAATGTCACTTTAAGGGACTTGAATGCATTTATAAGATTTAACTCCTGAGTTTATTGTCACTTTTGTGAACAAACTGAGTATTACAAACTGCAGGTGCAGAATAAAAACCAAACTTTTTAGAGTGAACTACACAACTACACTTTTTTTTAAATCGGAACAAGAAAACAATACACATTATGAAAAAAGTGGACTGTCACTATTCCAAAAACTTTGTATTGGAATGTAAAAATGTTGGCATGTCCACATTCTGGGGGCTTAGGCTGGCTCTCTTTTTACATGTTATTTTGCCTGCAGCAGAGAAGAGGCGCTTTGATGGTGTGGAGGTGGCTGGGATACACAAGTAGGTTTTCGCAACTTTTGCCAAAGTAGGATATTTCTCTTTGTTAGCCTTCCACCAATTCAAAGGGTTTCCTTCCTTGGCAAGGGGTCTCTCTGCAAAATAAGTCTGGACTTCATTTTTAATTTGACCATGAATATCCTCATCCTCCTCTTGCCCCTCTTTAGTCTCCTCTTCACTGCTGCCCCCAGACTCAAGGAGTGATGCTACAGATGTTGAGGGCTTAGCAACTCTTGCCGGTGAAGTGGTTGTTTGCTGCTCCCCCATCTTTTTGCAAGCACCTCTGCCAGCACTGTTGAATGTACAGCAAAAATTTGGTCTAGCGTTAAATATTTCAGTCTTCTGAATCTTGGGTCCAGGGCAGAAGCAAGAATTACGGTATTTGGGTTCTGTTCAGAAAGGATTCCCTTCCATCTGCTTTGAAGCTGGGCTGCTGCAGTGGCTTGGAAGCTCTTCAGCGCATGTGACTTGAAAGAAGCACCCTCAGTGGATCAGGCACGGAAGACAAAGTGATATAGTCTTGGCCACTCATCAATACGGTAGCAGACTCAAAGGGCTGGAGAGCATTTGAGAGTTCTTTGAGAATACTCCAGTGGTCTGCTTTTAAGTCCAGGTAGTGCTTGCCCCTTAGAGTAACTGATGGATCAGACAAAGTTGCTGTTACCGGCCACCGTTGTTCAATGAGTCTCTCCACCATCTGGTAAGTACTATTCCACCTTGTGCTTACATCTTGAGGTAGCTTGTGCTCATTGCTTTTGCTTCTCGTTCAACTTGCTGCTAGCTAATTCACTTTTTTTTTAAATGTTCTACTAGTCCTCTTGCAGCACTAACAGCTCTCTCAATTATGGAATTCTTTAATGCAGCACCGATCACCGGCTGCAACGTATGGCCAGTGCAGCGGATACTGCTCCACCCATGCTGTTCTTTCAGAATGTTCGCAGGAGCCACAATATTTGCACCGTTGTCATGCACAATGGCAATTATTTTTTGAGCTGAAAATTTTGCAGCCACCTCCTTCAACCATTCTGCAATGTTTGTCGCTGTATGCCTGTCTTCCAGAGGCATGGTAGTGAGGCAAATAGAAGTAATCTTCCAGTGGTCTGCTATGTAGTGGCATATAATGCCAAGGTAAGCCTCGGTCGCTATACTTGTCCATATGTCCGCAGTCAATGCAATTCTGCTTTCATTAGCAGAATTGTGGCATCCTTTACTTTTTGAACTGCCTCCTGGTACCTCCTCTCCACTAGTTTGGTGAAATTAGTCCTTGAGGGAATCATATATCCAGGGTTTAGTACACTGATCAGGTTTTTAAATCTGTGATCTTCAACCATGGAAATTGGCCGCATGTCGGCGACTATCATTTGCAGAATCGAATCTGTTATCACTGCTGCTTGTTTTGGAGTGCACACGGTACTTCGATGCACAAACTCTGCGTTGTTTCTTTATGAAATAAAAAAAAATAATGATAGTATGCAGAAAAAAGCTACTTCTGTGCAACTCAGTCAGTGTATCATTTGAACTTACTGTCATGATGATGTTTCGTTCTCCTCTGCAAAGCCAACGTGTTTCCTTTTCATGTGGTCAAGCATCACTGGGGTGCTTCGGTGCCACACAAGCTCCTGTTTGGAAATTTTGTAGGCAACAACCTTCTTTATAGTATTTAGCGTAAAACGCTCCCATGCCTTTTGAGGACTTGGTTTACACACTTTTTTCAACGGTCACTTTGTCAGCACCCTCTGCCTGTGACATTTTTTATAATGCGTTTTTTTGCAGCTAGAAGTAAAAAAAAAAAAAATTGTGTGCAATATAGTGAAATGGAAAGTGTAAAATTATACAGCAATCAATGCAGAATGGCACCAGCTATAGAAGACTAGAAATCCCAGCAATAATACATTATACAGCGGCACAATGCAGAATACCAACAGCTATAGAGGAACAACAAATCCCAGCAATAATACATTATACAGTGGCACAATGCAGAATACCACCAGCTATAGAGGAACAACAAATTCCAGCAGTAATACATTATATAGCGGCACAATGCAGAATACCACCAGCTATAGAGGAACAACAAATCCCAGCAATATTTCATTTTACAGGCTGTTTAATGTATTGTTGCTGGGATTTGTTGTTCCTCTATAGCTGCTGGTATTCTGCAGTGTGCCGCTGAATAATACAGCGGCACACTGCAGAATACCACCAGTTATAGAGGAACAATAAATCCCAGCAGACATAGCATATATTCAAAGGGTATACATGTATACAGGTAAGTTGGTCCACAGGACCCAGTTCAATCAAATGTCTCCTTACAGGGGGGATGTCTTCCGGATATAGAAACCAATGATGAGCTTATGGCGACATAGAGCATATGATCATCCGCGACTGAGCAGTGCTGTACGGCTCTGTATACCTCAATATACGTAGAGGGGAGGGGGGGGGGAGACAGACCAATAGACGCAAGACAAGACAAAACAAGGACAACACAATACAAATACAGATAGTGGGGGGGTACGAGAACGATCAGTTTGCCCGTGAGGGCAGGTAGAAACCTCAAGTAGATTCCTGAGACATTGCCTGGTCTACAACATACGATGCTAACAGAACACAGTGATAAAACAAGTCCTGGCTATGGTGCTGAGGTCAACAAGGCAGGAAAAGCAGCTGAGTCTTGAAAGCATATCCATGGTAACCATAAGTTTCGGAAGGATTCGTTACGGTCTGCATCTATAGCCACCATTTCTTCCAT